TCTCTCTCTCTCTCTCTCTCTCTCTACTCTCTTTTCTCTCCCCTACGGCCCTTTCTAGAATCTTCTCTCGACTTCATCCAAAGGCTCGCGAGCAGTAACTTGCCTCCCTGACCCTCTTTCTCCACCTCCCCCTCCCCTTTCCTTTCTTTTATCCGGTCCCTGATGCTGCCCCGGGAGAATTCTTCGCTTCACTACTTTTGTGCGATCTTACCTTCCTTCAATTCGCGATTTCTCGCTATCCCATCCTTCTTTCCCTTCCTCTCCCCTTTCTTTTCTCTCTTTTCCTTCTCTTCACTTCTCTGTGAGAGAAATGCATTATTATATTTATTTGGTCGATATTTATATCTCATTGCTGCACACGAAAATGTGAGAATTGCAAATCGCTGTGTCCCGTTTCATTACATTTGTAGCTAGAGATTCAAATTCACCGGCATATCCTCCAGATTCACGTGCTTTTCAGACACGGAAGCTGCCGTGTCTATATTTACCCGACATAATGAAAGATCGATGTTACAATTTTTCATATCTTCCTGTACCGAACTAGCGTCGGGTATTGAATTCACCGCAATCGTATCGCTGTCTCGTCGAACACTTCCTGTCAGCGGTTTGACATTAATCTCGTAACTTTTCATACAATGTGCGATATTTCTAGAATTCCTTCTATCGCACCTATATGTGGCAGCTTGCGCGACGCAAGTTTCCCTCGTTACGGCTCGACCCGCCTTTTTCCATGCGAAATTACCTTCCCCGAGACTATCGCGATCGTCCCCGCGGAGAAAACGGATTTTCACACTACGCCATTATGCAAATTCCTCTTAAAAGTAACTGCGGTCGAGCGAGATATTGAGAGACGGTAGCGCGGAAGCAGGGGGTAGGGGATGAGGCTGAGACAAGGATCGAATTACGGAAGAGACCTGGGGGAGAAGACGGATCGTGGGAGGAGGGAAAAAATGCGAGGGTAGAAAAGAATTATCCGATAACGCCGAAGGCTCGGCGAAATTATGAAAGGTGCCGCACACCTGGCCGCGTGTTCAGAAATGTGGCGTAAACGCGACCGCTCAAATGCCACGGCGGAGCCGCGAAATGCCGGATAAACCGCCTCTTCAACGGGAAAACTCACCCCGCATTTTATCTCATATGGGGTTCATTCGTTCTTTCCGACGAGGGATTCGTCCCAAGCAAAATTCATGAAGTAACGAACGGGTCCGCTCGCTTATCGTTCAACGTGTGTTCCGATATTTTATTGCCTCTATGACGCTCAATCGGTCGCATTACACGAATGTATGGCGTTAACAGAATATTTTTCGTTGACGCTGTATATCTCGTGAAATGCCGTTATATCGGCGTCATGTAGAAAGCAGGTATGTTGCGAAAAACGCAAATGCAATTGGCGCGATGAATTATTCTACAGAAAAAATATTTCGTTTATTACGAAAAAAACGAGTTCAATTATTGGAAAATATAAAATAAATCTCTTTCTATTCCAGACATGTATATCATGCATTTATACATCTCGTTTATTATTTATTCTCCTAAAATGTAATATGAAATGTTTAATCTATTTGACGATAAGATGGCATAATTAGTAACTTTAATATAATTTTATTATGTTATACTCACCCTTGTCGGGAGGCCAGTTGAAATTTCTCTTTCTGTCCAATTCGGATGACTTTTGCTCCGATTTTCCGATTTCGTTCAGGTTCGACTGGAACTTGGTACCTTGAGAGAGAAGAAACGAAACGAAAGTTTATGAAAAATATTACGATGTGACATATTAGACAACGATTAATAATAAATGAAATTTCACAAGGATATTCCCAAGAAAAATGTTTCTCCGCTTTGGAAAGTCCACCGCGGGCCGACGACAATTTGTTTCCCGGATGTTATGGGAATGAATCCCGAACGTTATGGGAATAAATTAAAAATTCAATCTCGCTTCGAGACATTATAGCGTAAAGCCGTCGGCGAGATAGAGGAGATGAGAATCTGAGGAACAGAAGGAGCGAAAGGAGAGACTTGCGTCGTTCGCATAGCGGAACACTACGGACAAAGGGACGTGCAACGAGTGGCCCTCTCGACTGAAGATGTTTACGAGCCTGTTACGCATAAAGTGGGTGGCAAACGCGTTAACTAGTATGCAAACTCCGAGTAAACACAATTCCCTTATCCGCACCAAGTAGATTCTATCCGTGTCATGACACACGCTTGTCGCAAGCCCGCCGCGTTTTGGATTACATTCTTGCGAGCGAAACAGCTCGTGACGAGTATATATTTCGATAAAATTACACAACTAGATCGTATGCACGTAAGTTTATCGTGTGTATGTTTACTTGCCACGTCAAAGCGCATCAGGCTCACGTAAATAAATATTTTCTTGCTTCGATACTTGTATTTTTACTTCTTTCTTACTTATATATAATTTAGTTGTATAATAATTATATAAAACATGTATTATTAATATTTCATAAATCTTTCTTTTACTATTTTACTATTTTAAAAACTAAAATATCATTTTTCGTATCTATTAAACTATCGACATTTTTCCATTCATATCTATTTATTTTTAATTATTTCAATTGAAAAAAAATAATAACGTTTATAGATTGATTTTCATGCAATCAAATTGTATTTTTTCATCTTTTTAAAACGTGGTACAGCGATATATATAAGTAATTATTAACGGTGTTTCTCGAACTGTGTGTGACAATTTTGTTTCTCGCTCGCAAGATTACAACCGATCATCCCATGTGCATTCTATGATTTTTCTAAGTTTACATAAGGCTCGTAAACGGCGCATCAAGTTGGCTGAAGCGCTACCAATACGCGCAGCTCCGTTAATGTGGAGAACCAGTAGGTAGCAAGAGCCGCACAGGCCCGGCAGTCTATACTTATCGCTTAATTTTCGGGTACCCGCCAAGCAGGGTGCTTGCGAATATCGCTTTGTATCTTCGTTCCCTCGCGATTAGATTTGTAAGTTCCCGGCCCCGAGGCGATGCCAGTCAGTTTGGGTAAGGGGGTTTGGGCAGAGCGAGGGTTGTGCAAGAGCAGCGCAGGAGAAACACACGATCTTGGCACGATAGCCTATTTCGGG